TGCATTTTCCTCAATTTGTACAACTTTTCGATGCACTGGTGCCTCAAAGGAGCAGTAAATCCTTCGTTAATGAAACCCACCATCATCCTGAGCCGTCTTCCCTCTGCTAGGCGTCATTTAGCTCTGAGCATATTTAAGCACTGAAAAGTTGACTGGGTCACTGAGGATGTGTGTGTTTCTTTTGCCTGCTGGATGTGACACTGACAGATGGAGCAGCGGTGGGAGGTGTGAGGTTGGGGGGGGGCGGGTTGGGCGGTGATCCTTTCTCTTTATCTGCTGATTGGGCCGTGGTGTTTTGGGGTCACATTCACTTTTTACACCTGTTTGTTTTTTTGGAGAGGTTTTATCATTTAAGGATGCATTATGCAAATCCCACAGAGTTCTTTGTTTAAATAATTAAAATGTTAAAATCCTTTTTATTTTGCACCATGATGTGTTTAAATGTAACTGATTCTCAACCGATTTTGAGCTGATTGAGGTGTTACTAATAGGATATGCAAAACACAGTAAAGGCAATCTGCAACAAAAACAGTAGGACAAAATGCTTAAAGTTCACAGAAAATACTTTTAAAAAAAAACAACAAAAATGTTTTTACATATTTTCAGATCTACTATAGCTTCCTTGACCCCTAATAAAGCATGGGATATTTTATTTTTACCATGGCTAAGCAGAAAGCATGAATAAGTCATGTGAGAGGCTTCCATGCGGTTGTATTGTGCGACTCCTAAATTATGGATCAAGCACCCAGCAGCTCCACCTCATCCTTCATTGGCCCAAACTTTGGGTCAGTTAAGTTTAGCAAAGAGTTACAGAGAAGAAAATCTTGTTTCTCTGTATCATTTATTCATCGCTGCGCTCATTCAACATATATATTTATATATTTCTATCGGGGAATCAAATGGTCATTCTGTCTTTATATTTCAGTATTTAGTGAATCCAAAGTGTCTCCATTCCACAAAATTAAAAGCAGAGAATCAATAAAACATCACTCATGTTACAGCCCCTCACTAATGCACACACTGCGCTCATCCAACCCTGTATCTCCACTCTGCTGTTTCCATGGAAACATGTCCTCTCACTAATGCACAACAGGCTATTTTAATTATAGCTTAATAAGCAAAAATAATTAAGACTTCTGTTTTTCCTCCATATGAATTATTGATAATTGACTTGATTATGCTTCAGATGAAAATGAGCAACATTAAACCAGAAGGAGAGAAAGATTTTTGACTTGGTGTAATCTGTGTGCAGGAACGTAAATAATGCAAAAGTAATAAACATCAATTGAGGCCAGGCCATAAATCTTTTATACGAGCGCTCTTTCCCCATCATGTTGAAATCGTCTCTGCATGGCTGCAGCAACACATTTCATCGGCACGTCTTCAAAGTGTATAAAGAGACACAGTCTTGTTTTTTTAATCAACGCTGAACGAGAAAAATCACAGCTATGACTTGAATAGGTGAGAAAAAATGTCTAAAATAAAAACCACAAAAGAGATTATTACCAGAAAACATGTTTTTGCTCCACCTGTAAAGCATGAAACCTATAAAATGCTTGTACATTTAATGTCTGCTTCTGTGAATTTCTGATGACTGGACAGCAAATGTGACTGGCTGCATCTATCACGCTTCATGTGAGTCACCATAGGGTCAATAAATCCGGTCATGAGACTGAGAGAAGAGAGGTGGCAAACTCACCGTCTGTCCTGGAGGATTTTCAAACAATCTGATGTTTGAGGCAAGTTTAAGATGAGAAGAAACAACAACATAACGCCACCAACAGGAAACTTGTATTAGAAAGGAAAAGTCCGGTAGGGACAGGGGCGGATCTACAGGAACTTGGGGGGGGGGGGGGCCGTTGCCTCCGTCAGTAAAGCCAGAAACAACTAATAGCATTCAAATTAAATATTAATTCACCATAAATATGTAATTATAAGTTCAGTCTTAAGTCCCAGAAAAACCTGGTGTTAGTTAGGGGTATTTTTAAAAAAACATTCTTAGATCTAGACTTTATTGCCATACCACAAAGATTCAACCCAGGAGGTCCAGCATCACTACCTCGCCAAAACCTCTTGCCACGTCATTGTACCTGCCACTGGATACCTAGATATTGTTCTCCACATTCTTCAGACACAAGACAGACCAATATTTCCAAAAATTGAAGATAAATGTCTTTCATGACTGAAACTGTTCTCACATTAAAGCTTTCAAATCACATTTTCTATTGAATAAAATGAAAACTTCTGTTTTCTTATAGCTAAAAATGACAAAAGTTCTTCCAGTGGGTTCTGGATCTGCTCTGTCATTTGCTCCCAGTTGAATATTCCAAAAGTCTTCAAAAGCATCCAGTAGAAATCCTGATCAGGATAGAAGGAGGAAGTATAGCTACGTTTGTCCGAGATCTCCTTGATTTGGTCAACATCATTATCAGAGAAGAATGTAGATGGGTTGCACTGAATCGAGAGTTTATTTTGTTTCAACTCTTTCCTTATCACAACCCAAAGGAGCTGTGCCTGCTTTACTGCAGAGAAGCTCCAGTCTGTCTGTCTCTGATTGACGATGGCTTGTGAACAAGTCAACAAAATACTTGAATTCCTCAACCTGGAAGAAGCAGTCCAGTTTATTCACATTGAGAACCATGGCTTCAAAACTTTAAGGAACCTGCAGACTGATCCACTGCATGCTGAATACTATGGGTAGTAGAATCACTTCTTCTCTCCATTTCTGTGTTAACACAAAGAGAATCACTTTGTGCAGACACCATTCATCCTCTGTGTATGCAAGGACTGGTTTGTGCTTCAAGGCAATACAGACCGCCACATAAAGTCTTCTTCAGATCCACAAAATACTTGCAAACCGGACAACCAAACTCCTTTTGACACTCAGAAAAGTCAGATGGACATGCTGTGGTGTTGGCAAGGATTTATTTTCCTCCACTAAAATATTCAGAGTAAGCATCTATACATCAAAATCCTGCTCATTTAGTCCAAAATCATTCAAACAACAAACCAAGAACAATGCAGAAGCTAAGTGCACTGGACATTCTTCTTCATTCTTTCATCTGTCATGTTGTTGAAAACAGTCACAGGTTGATTCTGGAGTAAAGAAAAAAATAACTTGCACAAGGTGTTGGGAAGAGCAAACATTCTCTGCGCGCCCAGATAAAATGGTTAAAAATTAAAGAGTGTGTCTGAAAACACATTCCACAGCACAGCAGTGGGTGAGGATGCAGATAATGAACCCTGGGAGAGGCTGGAGCCCTACCAACCGTCTGAATGCTCAGCACAGCCTGGCAGGCGGATCAGCTACTCAGTATTCCACTCAGGTCTACCTTGAGAATCAGAAGCAGAGTTGAGGAGCAGAGATGTTATTTTGACGCTTAATTTGCAGAGAGAGATGGTGACTGTTACTGCTGCTAACATCTGATGCTGAAAACATTCTGAATTTGATCCTTTTTTTTATCTGTGCTATAATTTACAATAACAAAATTAGGTTTTCTTTTGCAACAAATAAATGCATGCACACTTAACCATTGTTCATAAAGCCAATGAGCATGAAGCAGCCTTTGTTTATGTTATTAAAATGTCTGCTGGTTTATTTGCTGCAGTGCCTTGCAAAGCTTATTCTACTGCAGCACAGGGAATAGGTTTAGCTTCTGCTGCTGTCTGAAAAATGACTGACTCAGAAACACAAACAAACACCCAAAGACATGGCGGTGACTCATAAATCTAACCAATTCATATGACAGCTGCATACATCAGCGTTTACAGTCCCAGCCTCTCAGGGACGAAGACGGACTCCTCCAAACTGGAACCACAGCCAACCAGTCCCTGGTCACCCACAGGTCCTCTGGGGGTAAGACTGGCAAAAGGACAGGGTTAAAGGTCACAATCTCTATGTAAATCTCAGGATGGGATTTCATCCAATATGAAATGTCAGCATTGCCCACAGGGTTGGGCAACTCTTAGTATAAATATAGGGCTGGAGTCTTTAAACTGTAAAGTAATTGTTCCATTTTCAATTCATATTCCAAGGTAAAGCTTTTTCCTAATAAGCATTTTTAAACAACAGATAATCAAACAAAAGAATCATTTTGTTCAGACATTTTGTTTGGCATGTAAAGTGGAGCCAGTTAAAGAACCAAAGGTGCAAATTTTAAAATTTGAACCATAAGCAACTAAAAGCCAAAACATTTAGCAAAGTTACAAGATTTTCTGAGTGGATATCATGTAAATGCAAGTGGGACTCTTTTCAATTTAATAGAAATGCAGATTCTGTTTTAGAAAATGAAATGAGGAAGAATCAAACATTTATCTTTATTTTCTTTTTCCAGAATTGCAAAACAAACATTAAATTCAATTATTTTTAAGCCTTTAATATTACAGAGGATCACTGAGAATAATATGAATGTAATAATAAACATGAAAAAGAAGTGGACATTAAATGTCTCCTTCTTGGCTTAACATATGTAGAATAGAATAGAATAGAATAGAATAGAATAGAATAGAATAGAATAGGAACTGCACATCTTAACATACGCAAATGATGTGTGTGTGTGTGTGTGCCTTTAGCTGTCATAATTTTCATCTCTTGTCACTAATAGACTTATTCTGATTTGAGTTATGGTGTCAATCTTAATTCAGAAAGCAGTCTGTCCAAATCTCGTTTATCAATGTGGTATTTTAGAATTGACATGCTCCTCGTTATCCTAAAGAAAATTATTTCTAAACCATAGAAAACCATTCTCAGATTTAGTCTTGGAAGTTTCTTTTTCCATGCATGGATATCTGCTGCTCAACTCTCGTCTGAATGATGCAGATTCTCCACCAGTGAACTGAGACACTGGTACAACCTTCTGATGGAGCTTCCTCATTTGTGATGTTGGACTGAATTATTTAAAATCCTGCAGACGGGAAAGTCGTGTCTCCAGGCTTGAAAAGTCTTCTTGAATTTTGCTCTGACTCAGTCAGCTAACCGAGGAACCTGGCTGTGTTTCCAGGATGCTTGGAGTGTTGCATCAAATGCCTGGGCGGCATCCCGTACCCGTCCCTGGTAGCTACCATCCTGCTGTATGCGGGCGTGGCCCTGTTCTGCGGCTGCGGGCACGAAGCCCTGTCGGGCACCGTCACCATCCTCCAGAACTACTTTGAGGTTGTGAGGAGCCCAGTGGATGCGCTGGACGTCTTCACCATGTGAGTGAAAAACATCAGTTTGCAAAGAGAAACTGTTCAGTGAAAATGAGGATAAAAATAATCCCTCAAATCAGTTTCTAATATTGCCAAAGAATGTGAAAGTTTGTGTATATTGCTAAATTTTTTCTTTGTGTGAAGTTATGGTGAATTTCTACACTACAGAGTAATTTGAAGAACAAAATGGTTTTCTATATCTACTCTGCAGGATTGACATAATCAAATATGTGATCTATGGCATTGCTTCGGCTTTCTTCGTCTATGGCATCCTACTGATGGTGGAGGGATTCTTCACCAGCGGAGCCATTAAGGATCTGTATGGAGACTTCAAGATCACCACCTGTGGACGCTGTGTCAGCGCTTGGGTATGAGTCTGCATGCTTCACCATACACAGAGTTTAAACTCTCAAGGCCTGAGGGGTTTGATAGGGAATATTAATGAACAAGCTAAGGAACACAGCAGACTGGTATTGTATTAACATTGTGTCTTGGTTATAATTTCTTGATATCATACTGTCACGTCTTAAACTACAAAAACTCAAATTAAAGTGATTAAAAAGCAACCAGTGCTTGCAGATTTCCTGTCAAGATCATCTTCAGACATAGTAACTTAAAAGATAATATAATAAAGAAAGTAAGCTATGGTTTAAATAAACTTGTTAGCATCACCAAATAGATATTTGACAGAAATAGAAAAATGAAGCAGAGCTGATTCAAAGCATAAGGAAGCTAAGCTGCTTCTTAAGACCCTGGAGGTCAACAGGAGAGACCAAAGGCTCTTAAATGCCCACAAAGTGTAAAGATCTTCAAATATAAGCATTTAAGTCAAAGAAATCCTGAATTAGCCAACCTTTCAATTAACTCAAATTATCTAAATTAATTGAAGATTACCGTAAACATGTAAACATATCAAGTGTTTCCTTTACATTTTTTTAAACTGTTATAGAAACAAACTTTTTCAAATCCAAAATAATTTATTTCTGCAAATGTCATTCATAGATTTCCACCATATGACCTACAAACCACCTTATGCTTAAAATGTTCAGAATGGTTTGTTGATTTTGATGTTTTTAAAATAACACTACTATTTGTAGATCTTGGCACAGTGCTCTCATATTAACCCATGTCCGCTTCTGATTGGCTGATCAGTCCCTCATGACGACTCCTCCCCAGAAGATCATTCAGCTGAGGAGGGGAACTGAGATTGGAGACTAAATTAATTTTATTAAGAAGGCTTGGACAACCAGGACACACAGGACTGACCAATCCTTCAGGATTGTTTAAGTTCTGTTTTTGTTTGAATCATGAGCTACATTTTGATCGTCTATTCTTGGGTAAAGTTGTGCAACACTTGGGTTTCTCCTCCATACATCTTGTATCTGTGCTCAACATCCGCAATTATTAATAAGTGTCATCAGCATTCTGATTCTCTACGCAATCAAAAGTGGGGTAACAACAGAAATCCAGCAGCCAGAGCATAAAGAAACCAGTACTACTTGCTGCAGAAGTTCTGAAAATGTGACCAGGAAAAAGCAATATTTACCTTACATTTATGATTTTACTAAGATGTCATATTCTTTTCAGTAGTTATCTGGTTTCCTGTGTTCATTTTCAGTTCATCATGCTGACTTACATCTTCATGCTGGCCTGGCTCGGAGTGACTGCGTTCACCTCCATTCCTGTCTTTATATATTTCAACATCTGGAATATTTGCCAAAACGACACTGTGCTGGAGGGGGCGTCGCTGTGCCTCGACCCGCGTCAATACGGTAACAACTTTTTTTCTCCGATTCTTTACCCTGTCCATTGCTCTCAGATTTATTCACAACTTTTGAAGTTCATGTGTAGATCATGCACCCAGAACAGCTGCTCTAGGTCAGAATAATCTATAGCAAACTAGTGGCTGCACTTATATGAAGTGAACTTATATGAAAGCCAATATTCAACTCTGAAATTGTGATACATCAAAGCCAGGTTTGTCTGAAGTGCTCTTAATGTTTTCAAATCAGATTATGCTTATGATAGTAGAATTAGTGCCATATATTCCAGCCCATTAACCACCAGCAGGCACTCACACAGCGATTGAGTGTCAACAACAATTTGCCACCACAGAGACAATGAGAACTTGTCTCTGTGTCTCTTGTTCATATGAGAACAGTTTTATGGAAGCCGTTTCTACATTTTGCAGATTGTTTCTGTGCTCTGATAAAAGAAGAAAAACTCACCTGACAATAAAACTGTAACTGCTTATTGCAGGCATTGTCCCGCTTGCTGAAGCAAAAACTGTGTGTGCTGGATCAGAGAAGTTCTACAGGATGTGTGGATCTACTGAGGTAAAAGATGCAGTGACAGAAAATGTTATTTATTGCACTCTTTCAAGATAAGTGAAAGAACCATGTGTGCAGAACCAAACCTAGCCATAAATAATGGAGGTTATGTAGGTATCCGTTTTGATACCTACATAAAACAGTGCACAGATGAGCAGAACACAGCAGACAGGTTGGGGCTAAAGCTATGTCGAAGTTTACAGCAGGATATGGCACAAATCAAACCACATGACCTCCCACTGAGAATAACACAAGATTTGCAGCTATCAACATAGATTTGTGGGGTAATACAAATGCACACCAGACTTTTTATATCTTTAGTTGAAAAGCTTAATAAAACATTTACTTCAAAATTATGCACCAGTGGTGTTTATTATGCAGGACTGGTAATCAGTTAATTCTGCCTCCATTTTTATGGATATTTTAATGGCTATTTCTTTGTAATTCTTTCTAATCTGAATGTTACAATTAAAACCAGCAAGTTCTGTGTCAGTGATTAAGATGGTGTGATTTGTTTGCAGCTGGATATGACGTTCCACCTCTTCATCTGTGCCCTCGCTGGAGCAGGAGCCGCCGTTATTGCAATGGTGAGCCACCAACAGCAAAATGAAATCATTATTTCAAATGTACCTCAACATCTCCCAAACGCAGAACTCTAGAGATACCAGCAGAATACATCGGCTCTGGCTAGTGCATGATCTCATTTGTTTTAAGAAGAATGTGCATTCCTCTGATTAGCTGCAGGAAACTGAGGAAAAACGCTGGGAAACTGGTGACATTTTGTTGTTTCTCCTTGTGATTCCCTGGGAGATAAAAGAGGTAGACAGAAGAAAGAAGACATTTTGGTGCAGTGAAAGAGACAGGGTTCGTCTCCCTCCCTCTTTTGGAGGCGGCGGGCATGTCATGCTGTTGTCATGGAAACAGGGAAAAGAAAGGCTCAGAGATTGTTGCAAACATCGCTCAGTAATTTGTGCGAAGCCATTTTCTGAGAAGCAGAAAGTGGTTGCTAGACAGAAACCGATGGCGCAAACTGTGGCTGGACTCGATACCTCCTCTAAGTGTTTCTCTGCCAAACAGAAACCACAACAGAACCTCCAGCCAATGCTGGCAGTTCTGAACCACACAAACACGGCCAAGAATCTTTAACGGGAACACAGACAAAAGGGAGCAACTGAATCCAAACGTGTAAATCTGAAGGAGCTGACTGGATCTTAGAAAGGTCGAGCGGTGCAGGAGTCAGACCGACAGGAGAAGCTGTCTTATTAAAGCACAAAACATCCATTATAATCTCTGTTACCATGGTAACGTCATGGTTCAAGGCATGGACTGGCATTATGCTGCCACCTGGTGGACCACCAAATTAATAATAATAAACAACATAGTAACAAGGTGGCAAAATCTCCATCTTTCAGCACTCCATGTTTTCTATTATGACCCTCTCTGCTTCTCCTTGTTGAGCTGCGTATTTTAATAACAAATATTTCAACAAAAATGTTCTTGGAATTAAATAACAATAAAAAAAAGTAATCACATGACAATGATATACAAGCTCATAGAAAAATCTGTCAGGTCACAAGAAAAAGACTTCACACTAAAACAGGTTTCTACGAACCTTCCAGATATGTGACATTTACCTTTCTGTCATGTTGCCAATCCTTCACCTACCACATGTCCTGAGTTACCTGACTATCCTTTCCTCTATGCTACCACTTACAGTACAAAGTGACAGTTTTGCATCTGTCCAAAACTCTCATCATCCTGAGTCGACTTCAGATCTACAGTAATGTCTTCTTATCTTGTACAGTAAACCGGTGGTATTCCATCTAAAAGGTGTAATAAATTGAGGTTGTAACATCACACAATTTAAGAAAATGGCTTCTATATTGTGAACCGTGTCAAATTAATTTATTTCTCTTGTTTATTTTGCATTTCTCCATTTTCCTCACAGATCCACTACTTGATGGTTCTGTCTGCCAACTGGGCCTACGTGAAGGATGCCTGCCGCATGCAGAAGTACGAGGACATCAAGTCCAAAGAGGAGCAGGAGCTTCATGACATCCACTCCACTCGCTCCAAGGAGCGCCTCAACGCGTACACATAGAGTCCAGCGCGAGGCCTGGCCCTGCCACTCCGGCCTCTCTCCCCCCCGCCTCTCCTCTTGCTTTCTCTCTGTCTCTCTCAACCATCCCCTCCTGAGGGGGGGCGGATGGCGCCTAGGGCCCTCGGCACTGCTGATGTAACCGGTGCGTCATGTGACAATGTGGTCTGGAGGTGCTTCTCACAAAGCTCCTTCGTCACAAGCAGCATCTCAAATGAAAAAAAAAAACGCCCCTTTACCTCTCTCGTGGATGGGTTTTTCTAATCATCGTCATGGCAGTTGTATTATTCTTGAATACGAGTCGTTTAGTGCTGATTGTAGTTTTAGTGTAGTTTGTAGAATCAGAAGTAGCAGTAATATTTCAGCTTTTTTAAGTTTTATTATAGTTTGTGTATAAATCTTTTGTTTTTATTTGGTAATTTTGCTCATTCATAATTTATTTCTTTTTCATTGATTTCTGAGGGGGTCAACAGGGGCTTTAAAGGGTTTTTAAGCACATTTCTCGTGTGTGTGTGGAGATTTCATGTGTAAGAGTGTTTTAAATGAATGAATGGTTAGTTTTTGAAAATATTTTGCATCTCACACCTTAAAAAATGCAAATTTTGCCAGGATTCCCAGGGATTAAGACACACTTTCACAATAAACAACTATTCAGTTTGTTTTTCATTATGAAGTAGCAAACCAACTAAATATTAAGAACCAAATCGATGCAAAGAAATCTCTGCTAAACAGAAATTATTGTTAATATAAAGGGGGAACGAGCCAAGTTAAATTTAACTGAGGAGTATAACCTTGTCATTTAAATCTATTTTCGGAAAGCAGAGCATTATGAATACTAATCTTGTGTTTAAGCAAAACTCTGCACTGTAAATATGGTGACATCAAAGATGATCTTTATGTTTTTGCACTCCTGTTTAAAGAAAATTAAAAAGAAGCGTATCCAGTCTCCATCAATCTGAACTAAAAAGAATGAGCCTGAAGCTGAGAAGTTTCTGCTGTAACGTCGGTCCTTGGTGGATTAATAAGATGTGATTAACGTGTGTGTCACAGATTTTATTTGTGTTTTATGACAGTAACTGTGTTGCCTACACATTTTGCCATACGGCTGCAGAAACAGCCCGTCACTTCATTGCCTGCTTTTTTT